CCCCCTGTCAGCCGGCTTCACGCTGATTGGCTGAGGCTGGAACAGCTGGGAGGAGGTTTGACAGCCCGCCTCTGCCAGGAGCCAATGGGAGCGTTTCCTCGCCTCGGGAGGGCCAATGGGAGCCCTCCGCTCACTTCCTGGGTTCTGGCCAATCAGGAGCGAGGAGGCGGGACGGCCGAGGAACAAAGGGGAAAGATGATGGGATTTGGGCTTTCCTGCTCGCTGGAATGCGGGCTATTGTCCAAGGCGGGAAGAGGGTGATGTTTGACAAACAAAGGGGCTTTCCTGTTCTTGATGAGTCTGGCGAGTGATTTGAATAGCTGGATCGATACCGGACCACCCGGGGGATCAACAGTATCTGGGTGATTTACTCAGTCCTTTCTTTCCGGGGCTCTGCTGACTCTTCCTTTACCGTTGGTCCTGCTCCGATGACGAAATTGGGGGGCCAGCAGCATTGTCCATGCAAAATGAGTCAATCAATGGGTGATTAGGGGAAAAGAGGCTTGGGCTCTTTCCCCAGGCAGTTCCTGGTCACGCCGGTTTTTATGGGGTAAGGGGTCAAGGAGGTGAAGATACAGGGGATTTCATAGGGATACATATTTCATATTCATAAAATACAGGCATCACCAATATACAGGCATTTCATACGATCACAACCCACCACCCACCTCAGCCCATCCTAGTAGGAAAATATTTTATTTTATTTTTTTTTCAAAAAAAGAAATGGAAAACTAGAAGTCCCAAAGTCCAGACGGAGAGGTTTGGATGCGAGGGCCAGCCCATGGCTCAGGCTGGCCATCAGAAGATCAGTCCATTCCATAAAACAGGAGCTGGAGCTGAAGGGGGAGCTCGGTTCCACTGTTCTGTCCTTGGTGGAACTAGCGCTTCCAACCGGGGATCGGGCCTCCCTGCCCGATCCCCCACTTCCAAGGCTTCCCTTTGGGTAACGGCGGTGGATCGCAGGCGGCGGGAACCATGCTGGAGCGAGCAGCGGCGAACAGAATGAAGCATGCGGCAAAAGCCGGCGAAATTCTGACAATCAGCTGGTGACTTGGCCGAATTTAATGATTAAACAAAAACAATTATTCCACGAGTGCAGGAGTCCAAAATGAGAAAACCAAGATAGCAGTTAGTCTTAGAAGTTAATGTAGGAAAATATAAAATTTGAACGGGCCC